AGAAGATTTCACAGGGGAAACTGTTGTACCCTAAAATCTTCCCTCTTCATTTTACTTTTAGTGGCTTATGTTTCATCATATGCATTTCATACATTGTGATGGGATCAAGGTTATTTTTTTTCTCAAACTCTCCTCAAGCAACAAAATTTGATTGTGTCGCCAATAAGTCCAAGATGAATCTCATATTCTCATTCTTATGTCTACTCAAGCTACCAAGGCTTTTTCATACCTCATGGCATCTCAACGGATTCTTTGTTTCATGAGAAGATTCATGATTGCAAGGGTTTGGCAATGGATCACAACTTTTCCTATCTTTTGGCCTTTATGCTAAGACTTTGATTATTGAAGTATGATTATCAAGAGGTTATTATTTCAAAGATATAATCTTCTCCATCAAGATATGTCAAAGCTTATCTTCATCATTGCAAGGGATTTATTATGATCAAAGCTTGTTTATCCTCAATTGTTCATTGCTTGCAAATACAAGTTGGTTCGAAATTTGAGAATTGAAGGCTCACTTGATAAGTTTAGACATGCTAAATGCAGGGAGAATTTTGAAAACTGAAATTTGTTTCAAGCATCATTTTCAAAGGCAATTTAAGTGAGTTTAATTTTGGAATTAGTGAAATAGGAAATCAAGTGTGATGAATCAAGAGAAATGGTTTTTTTATGCCTATGATAAATCATGTTGTCTTGTGACTTCTCTTTGAAATGAAGGGGAAAATTTACCTCATTACAAGTCACAAGTTTCATGGTTTTCTATCCAAGTATTTCAAGTATTTCAAATTCACAACTTCATATTAATTTCTTTCAAAATTCATTCAAGATCATCCAAATTTACCAAATATCCAAGTTTGATTACAAATTCTACAAAGTATCCTTACTTTCTAAAGAATGAAAGAACATTCTAATTGCTATTTAGTTTCATGCATCACCACTTATTTTTGTTACAAGAGGGTTTCAAGCCTCTTAGTTCCTAAGTTTAAAATTACATCATCAAGACTATAAAATCATCCATATTTCTAAACCCAAACTTATGATTTTTAAAGAGACTTTCCATTGACTTTATTTTGAATCTCCCTCCAATTTTCCAAGTCAGACCATAAATTCTTCTTCTTCCTGCCAAGGACCAATCAACTTTCTCTCATCCTCCATCACATGAAACAAGGAAAAGAAAAAACAAATTTGTTTGAAAGCAATCATCAAAAAGACATGAACAAGAATTGTTAAGCAAGAAGTTTTCAAGCAAGTTTCTTTTCAAAATTCATCATTAGGGTGTCGTGATAGGAATCGGAATAAGAGGGTTTTGAGTTCGATCATTTGGTTCATAGGCAATCAAGAACATGCCTCATACAAGTTGTTTCACAATAAATTCAGAATTTCAGTTTAATCATAGGCCTAACTCCATCCATTGCAAATCACAAACTAATTTTGGTTCACAACGGAGGTACAAAAAGAATAAACTCAGGATTTCATCATAGGCAGCAAAGTCAGAATCGCATCTCAGGCCCAAAAATTGCAGCAACATATTAGAATTTGATAAAGGCTAATAACATAGTTGCTACAACAATACATACGTCACAAAAAATCACAAATAAGAAGGATGACAAGTAAAATTCGTGAAAGCCCATAACAAGAAAGTATGTCCAAAATCGATTACAGCAGGAAACCCTAATCTCAAGACTATATAAAATAATCATTGGCATAAGTTTCGAAAGAGGCAATAATTCACAAATAGAAAGCACCCCAAATAATACAAACCCTGAGAGTTATCATCATCTTCCCTAATCACCAAACCTTTCAGAAAATCGCGAAAAGGAGGAAGAAGAAGAAACGAGTTTGCAAAGAGAGAGTGATATTCTTACCGTCATGAAGCGGAGAGAGAGAGAGAGAGAGAGAGAGAGAGATAGAGAGAGAGAGACTGTTACCATTGTCGTCCTCCTTATTCAACCCTCAATCATGCTTCATAAAGGTCATTTCTCGCGTACACAAGACGCCTATTCTCTCTTTATCTTTATTGTTTCATTCAATTTTCGTCATATTCTTTGTTAGGGTTTCATTTTCCCCTTTTCAGATCTATGCGCGATCAGACATTTCCTGCAAAATCAAGCCATGGAATCATGACCAGAAGAGAAAGACGATTTAGAATATGTAAAAAAATTGAAAATCGGAACAAGTAGTGTCATCGCCGCTGCCGCGTCTCTTCTCCGACGCACTCTATTGACAGAACATAGAGTGAGGAGAGAGGACTAGAAAGAACATAGAGTGAGAAGAGAGGACTAGAAAGATAAATGGATGATAATCTGTGTCACTTGTCACCACCCTTTTGTTAATTAAATTTTATTGAAACAACTAATCCGGCGGTGACACTTGTCACCGCCCTTGTGGTAACCACTTGATTCTATCCAGGTGCACTCACCATAACCATCGTAGTCTGTCACTCAACCACTTCATGATCTTCATCATACAACTCAGAGGCGTGTTCCACGTTGCACCCTTTCCTTATTGGATAAAAGAAAAGTCGGTGGCGACTCTAGCTATCTACAATATTTGCGATAAAACGCAAAAAACCAAGTCAGTTCTCCCACCATATTACAATCCGCCTTTACCAATTTACCATCTTCGATCTCTATCTGTTTCGTCCCTACCACGTGTTTAACTCGACTTCTCACATTCGTAGTAGTGTGATACATACAAAGTAATGCATAAGAAGTCAAAAATACTGTTGGAACCGAGTTCATCAATGTGGTATCACGGTCGGTAACAATGACTTTTGGCATATCTTCTTGGTCCTTCAACATTGACCGACAAACCTCTAAGCCCATGCAAAATTGTCCTCTTTTTTGCACTCTAGAAATGCAAAATCAATAGTATACGTCTTCTCAGTCGACGTAACACCAACGATTTCCAACAATGGAAACATGTATTTGTTGGTCTTATACGTTAAATCAATTATAAGCACAGTGGGAAATATATTGAATAATTTAATGGAATCATGATGAGTCCATTAGATATCTCTTACTATTACTCCATCCTCAGAACTTTGGTGCCTAGAAACATAATTGTTATCATCTAGAAGTTTCAAGAGGTGTTGCATTTCGGTTCGATCCCCCCTAAGCGTAAATTTGGATTGATAGCGCCTATTGTACATTTGCTTGATATTTGAGATATTTCCGGATCTTTTGCGCTTCAAAGTTGTAAGTATGTTTTTGGGATCTACCAAATTTATTGTCATGTTGGACACATATTCCTTCTCTTCCGACAAAAGTCGACATGCAATTGGATGACCGACTAACTTATTACACAAATCATGATTGTGTAAACCACATATCACATTAAATTTCCATTTATTATTTGTCAATCGATAACCACACAACCTAAATGTACATTCACATTTTCTTGAACTGGTGTCATCTTATATGAAATTCCGGATACAAGGTATATATTTCTGACTTCTTTCGCATATTAAAGTCACACATGTATTTCTTCTATCTGAACCATTATTGGACCTTGCAATCACAACACCAAACCCTAGTTTGGTGGCCTCTGTACGAATCCACTGCAACATGTCATCACAAAATTCACACTCTTCTTCATTTTTAAAATGATCCTGAATATCTTACAAGAGGTGAAACAACTTGAGACACATTAGGTTTGGGAATGATATCATGATGCACCATACCTAATATGATAAAAAACATTAAATTAATTAACATACACAACAAGAAATACGTTTATGAAAAATAAGCAAAAACAGAAACCGAAAGTACATTTCTAGTTAAGTTTAACTAACAACCGAAAATACAATTCCGGTATTCGCGTAACCTTTTTTCAGTAGAAAACCAGATTAATGTGATGGATGAAGATTTAAATGAATAAAGTTTACTTTAAATTCCACTTATTTGAGCTTCTATTGATATGATGAACCACAAGCATGAAAATTTAGAGTGAAAAACTTGATTGAGGAGGAAAGGATTTATGAAATTTTTTGGAAACGAAGGTGATCATCCTGGTTCATATACTAGTTGTTGTTTTAAGCAATTTGACGTTAGATATTCTCGAAAATACACATTTGGTTTTAAATAAAATATTAAGGTGGCCGAACTTTCAATCTTCCCGCACTTATTCAATCATGAGCTTTCAATCTTCCCGCACTTATTCAATCATGAGACAACTTTTTATCCCAAACAAAAAATAAGAAAAAAATATCAAAAATTATTCTCTCTCATAATTTAATATTTTTATTAATAAATATAATTCTACTATTTTATATATCAACAAAAAATATTATAATAAAAATAACATTAATTTTGTCAATCTCTTCATTTTTTCCTTCTTTCTCATTATTTAACTAGTACTTTCAACCCATACGATACACGAGACAAATTATAGATAAATATTATACATGAGAATATTTTTTAAATATTTTTATTAATTGAATAGTTGAAGTACATAAAAGTTAGTGATGGAGTAATAAACTGTAATAATTAATATTAAATATTAATTAATATATTAGGTAATATCTATTGAAAAGAAAATTATATAAATAAAATTATTTAGACAAAATTTTACTTAAAATTTAACGCCTAAGTGTATATTCTATTTTAATATATTAAATATATTTTAATTTATAAATATTAATATTTTATATATGAATTAAAAAATATCATAGTAAAAATTATTATATCATTTTATCCCGTAGAAAGATATATCAAATAAAATAGAGAAAAAATTAAGCAGTACATAAATCATGAAACATAATACATAAAAAATAGTTCATATTATTCTCTAGTGTCTAATACAAATAATACTTTTTACAAATCAAACGCATAAAGATAAAAAAGAGAATAACCGTTTTCTTTTTTGTAATTGTGTTATAAGTTTTTAATAGAAGAAAAAAAAACATTTTTGATAAAGAACATGTTTAAAAAAAGAGTGTTTTATCCGAAATTACAAATTGTGTAAGGAAAAAGTTTGAAGAAGAAGCAGTAGAATCAAGAATGTCAATGAGAATGGGTATTTGTGTCTCTTCCCTTTTGAAAGTTTCTTGTTACAGTCATAAGAAGAAGAGCGTCCCTTACAATCTGAAGGAAGGGCAATCTCGTATTTTCCACGAAGTCCCTTCTGGGTTGAACATGGAAGTGATTGTCCAGAAGAGTAGAAATGTTGTTGAAGATGAAAAGCATTACAATCCACCTTTGGTATTTGTTCATGGAAGTTATCATGCTGCTTGGTGTTGGGCTCAAAACTGGTTGCCATTCTTTTCTCAATCTGGCTATCATTGCTATGCTCTCTCCTTGCTTGGACAGGTTCCACTCACCCATTTGTTTTTTGTTTTTTTATCATGTTACACTTGTCTGCCACCGACACCTCTGAAAAACTTACCTAATACTTGTGATTATGTTTTTATTTATTTATTTATTGATGACTCGCGAGTAGGGTGAAAGTGATGAACCAAATGATACCGTTGCTGGTACACTTCAGGTAGAGTGCCTCCCCATTTTACTAGTTTTCAATTATCCATCTATCAACTTTCAACTTTTTTTTTGTATTATTCAAATACTCTTATGTTTTCCTGTTTGTACCATGTTCTGCAGTAGACACATGCAAGAGATGTTGCAGATTTTATTCATCGAAACATTCAATCACCGCCAGTCTTGATCGGACATTCCTTTGGAGGACTTATTGTTCAATATTATATTTCCAGTTTAGGAAATGACAAACTCAAAGGTACTTTATCATTGTCTGCTTTTGACCTAGCCAAGGTCTCCTTGTTCTGTGTGTCTTTCAACTCGAGGTTGGTACTTGGGCCTTTGATCATGGACCTTGCAAACGGCCTAGAACACCTATGATACTCGTGATCCAGCTCATAGGTAGTTCATCGCCTGTAGGAGCTAACCGATAGAGGGAGAGTTGTAATCTCTATATCGAATTGCCTATATAAGAGAGAATCATCTCCTGTTTACTTATTTCTTCGATAATTGAGTTGACTCTCTTTGTCGCATTGTTTGTACAAGTTTGCACACACACATGTATGCTAATTTTGTTTGAGATTGATTCTATAACAGAAAATTTATACCAAGAGCTTCGAGGAGCTGTCCTTGTTTGTTCTGTTCCTCCTTCTGGTAACGGGTAACTAACTAAAATTTCTCGTGTTTTACTATCGTTATTTTTCAAGACAGAAAGATAAACACTCGATAAATATGACTACAAATGGTTGATAACTTTTTCTTTATTTTTACTAGTGGACTAGTCTGGCGATATCTCCTTTCGAAGCCAGTTGCTGCTTTCAAGGTATTTGAATCGGTTTTTTCTGTATAATGTGAATGTTTCTTTGTTTATCTTCTTATATGCATGCATCCACTGTTTGGCAGGTTACATACAGCTTGGCAGCAAAAGGTTTTCAAAGCTCTATTTCTCTTTGCAAGGAGACATTTTTCTCGGACACAATGGAGGATCATGTTGTTAAAAGGTTTATTTTCCTTGAATCATTCTTTCACGAGCATTTCTTGTTTCAATTTGACTCGAAAAGACGATGCTTACTGATGTATTTTTGAAGCTTATTGAAGGAACAAAGTCTGTTTTTTGTTTTTGATATTTCAGATATCAAGAACTAATGAAAGAAAGTTCACGGATGCCATTGTTTGATTTAAGAAAACTGAATGCTTCACTTCCAGTTCCTTCAGTTCCAAACTCCTCTCTTAAAGTTCTTGTTTTGGGTGCAAACAATGACTTCATCGTGGTAAGCTCAATTTCGTATAAATGATGAAATAACTCACAGAAATTTTATTTGAACTTCAACTTGAGAAACCAATATTCAACAACTTTTTACATGGTTAATGTAGTCCACACATCTGGACACACTGATACTCAGGACCGTCTTTGAGGAAGTGCAATACAATATACTGCACAGGACCCAAAATTTATCATACTGAAATTGGAACTAATTAAGGTTTCATAAAATATTTGTCAATTGTCACGGTTAAATTGTGGTAAAATATGGTCTCTATTGGTTATGCCATAATTAAACTGCGAATAACCTATGCAGGATTTTCAAAAATTTGAGACGGCTCTGCTGATGCATCTCTATTTTAAAAGTAGTTAAGCTTAATAGTAGAAAGCGGTATCAAGTGATTTTGCTTCTTCAGACCGAGCCGAGGATGAATTAAGTGCTTTTCTTCTCCAATGATTATTTCTGCAACATTTCTTTAAGGTCTGTTTGTGTATTTTTTGTTGGTTATAGGATGCAGAAGGACTCAAAGAAACAGCAGAATTTTATGGTGTGTCACCGGTATGTGTTGAAGCAGTTGCTCATGACATGATGTTGGACACTTCATGGGAGAAAGGTGCAGAAGTTATTCTTTCATGGCTTAAGAGCTTACACAATTAAGAAGAAGGAAAATATCAGAGGAAAAGTCTGGTTCAATTTTCTCATTTTGGTAGGAATGTGAATGATTGCTTCAAATTATTAACAAGTTTCACCAAGCTTAGGAATTCTATTGAGCTATTTGTTTGCAATTTTATGAGCATCTAAATGTGCTGATTGCTTAAATTTTCTCTATTTCAAATTTGTTTGAATTGGCTTATAATTTTATGAGACTGTTCGGAAGAATTTATGGAAGAATTTATGAAAACGAGCTTTTTTCAGCTTATTTCTAGCTAGTTGACTTTCTTTTGTTTGCTATTGCAATCCAACTTTTTTACTTTGCATTTAATAATCATCTCCATGGTTGACCCCAAAAATAATCACTTCCATGGTTTCAGAAGATTATATTGAAAGCAATAATTTAAATATATGTATACAATCTTAAATCACAAACTTCACTTTTTATGTTCAACAAAAATATATATATTTGGAAGCACTTCACTTATTTATATATAAATAAAATGATAAATAATTAACAAATGAACTTTTCTCTCAGCCTATGTGATCTTATTACTGTCATTATTTGACTTATAAAACAATTAACAATAAACTTAAGATTCTTCAAAAAACTTGCTATTAATCCCTGTTCTGTACAGATGCAACTTAGACTCACTCGCGACGCAAATCTCGGTGTAAGCCGGAGCGAAAAGAACATCACCTTCGGTGATTTCGTAAACTTCAGATGATCCTGTGTTCATCGTTCCTTCCCCGGCCGTGACCAAGAAGATCGAAGGACCTGGAATGGCCTGGAACACCACTCTTTCTCCTTTCGGGAGAGTACAATGATCGATCTCGAATTCCTCGAACGGTGGGATATATTTGTTTACATATGGATTCATAGGAACACCTTGTAAAATCTCAGGAATACCCTATGAGAGTAAAAATGAGTTAAAATTTAAAACCGAGAAAAAAAACTGTGTTTATGCTATAAGAACTTAATGAAGTTGTTTATCCGAATATATGATTTACCTGTTTGTATGTGAGCATGGAACAAAGAGTCGGGACGTCTATGTATTTGGGAGTAAGACCAGCTCGAACAACGTTGTCTGACGTTGCCATACATTCAATACACTCCCCAGATAAATACGCATGTGGTTCGTTTGCTCCGAGGAACAATGCTTCCCCGGGATTGAGTTTTACGTGGTTTAGAAAGAAAGCAGCTAACACACCAATATCAGACGGGTATTGATTCTCCAACCGCAGCACGAGCAGCTCCTTTTCTGTCAATGGCCTCACCTAATGCAAAACGAGAATATTACGGTATCAATCAATCGTTCTATTGCAACTAACTAACTAACTAACTTTGTTCGATCAACTTGAAGAGATTAAGTAATCAACTAACCTCACTTTCCAGTTGAAGCCGATTTATCAATCTGTTCACTGCTTCGGTTACGATTTCTTTACTAGCTGACATAAGATGAGTGAACACTGCCTGTAGAACAGGTTTAACCTTCTCTTCATCAGTCTGATCACTAGTTTGTAAGACTAGGTCGGCATTTGCATCACCAACTAGGTTGACAACTTCGGGAACGTTATGAATCACATCTTTTAGCTCCTAAAAAGAAAAGAACAGAAAATTGCTCAACAACTCTAAGCATTATTAGAAACATTCCCTAAAAAAATTCTATTTGTGTCAAACTATAAAATTAGTCTACGAGCAAGATTTCGGTTTTCAAGCAGCTTAGGCAACAGTCTTTCTTGGAGAATGACAGAAATAAACCGCGGCATGACCAAAATTTGACTCTCGCGAGTTATTCAAAAGACACCAAACTTTCGGTGCTTTTCCTATTACATAACACAATCAGTTCGATAAACATAAACAATGAATCATTCATGACAAAGTCAATGGAAACAAAAAGTTAGTTAGTATTCTCATAATACTAAAAAAAACAACAAATAAAACTTGAAAGAATAATTGAGTACCTCAAGAGTGATAAATCCACAAAGAGCCTCAAAATCTGTCATTGCAAGAGCCATCTCAGGTTTATGATTCCCATCTTTATAGACATCAGGATGAAGTTTATGCAGCCTCCTAGCCAACTCCTTATCAGGGTGAGCTTGTATAGACAAAGCCTTTCCCACAGACAACACCTAATACATCAAAAGAACAACACAAAAATTCATCCTTTTCATAAGGATACCACATCAAACATTGATACAGACACCAAATACAAATACAACACTGACACGTAATTCACATTTGTTAATCACTTTTGTCATGTTGGACAGAGACGTGTTGGACGTCAAATATGCTTTCGATCAAAACACCTTAATCTCAAATGTTGATGCTACACAAATTCAACCTTTTTCACAAAATCTAAACCAAAAAATCAAAATCAAAGGGATACCACATCAAATATTGACACAAACACCAGACACGACTCTAACACCATGACACCAGACACAACCCATGACACATTTGTACATTTTGTCCGTGACATGTCATGTGAGACACCGAGACATGTCAGACATCGATATGCTATATCAAATGTTGATGCTACATAGTAAACAACAAAAACTGAACCTTTTCACAAAATTATAAACACCCAATTGAAAAATGTGTATGAAAGGTTAATCAAAATTCAGAATTCCAACAAACCTTAAACAAGAAAGGTAGATCAGACCCCCATTTCTGAACAACTTTATCCCCAAGCAAATCAGGGTTATTAAAAATCCAATCTTTAAGAGTAACACTTTCTTCCCCACCATCAGAAACAAGAAAAGAAGGACCTGAATCATGAGTACCAATCCAAAGCTCAGCATAAGGTTTCATTGGATCAAATTGAAACCCAGAATTCAGCTCAGAGAGTTTCGCAACATGAGACAGTTGACCTGGTAACCCCCAATCGTAATTCTTCACAGAACAATGAAGCTTCTGTAGTGAATGATGATTTGAATCTTCCATTGTTTTTTGGATTAGAATGTGGAAATGGGTTTGTTATAGAATGAATGAAAATGAAAACTGAAATTGAAATTGAGACATTGATGGTATTTGAAGAGATGGGTAGAGAGAGAAAGTGTAGAGAGAGAAAGGATGTTTTTGAAGTAAAAATTTCTTCTTTTTGTGATTCTTGAATGGGAAATTTGTGATCTTATCTTCTTGGACACGGTTTGTTGTATTGATGATGATTGTGTAGGAAAGAAGAACACGAAATTTCGTGCAAAAAACACACACGTTAATCTACTTCGACGAGATTTAGGAACTTTCTTGTTCTTCGTACTAATTTTTGTCTTGTCTTTTATTTTTTGAAATTTTGTGTTTTGTGATCTTCGCTTGATTTTGTTTTATTTTTTATTAAATATTTTTTTCTAAACATGATTCACATTGATGGATTAATTATTTTGTGGGCTCTACTAATTACTATTTTGGAAAATGGGTTTAGACCAAATTAGCTTTACTAATTAGGAAGATATGATAATGACACTTATTTTAGAAAAGGTCAATTGATTTTTTGAAATTAATTTTTTTTTTTTAAATATAGTAATTAAAAACACCAATAAATAATGATGTATTTTGCAAATATAATATATGATTTAATTTTTTTTTTGTCTGTAAATGTATTGGTAATTATGGGTGTTTGCGGTGCGGTTTGGGCGGTTTTGAAACAAAAAATTACTCGAATCGCAAGAGAAAAAAATACGCGGTTCGGTTTGATTCGGTTGATTTTTAAAAATAAATTCGAACCAAACCAAACCAAATTAATGCGGTTTGAATTGGTTCGGTTGATTCGGTTTTTTACAAAAAAAAATTATTAAGTCATACAAACAAATATAGAGGAAAATATAATTTTGTGTTTAATTGTTCGTACATTACTATAAAAAAATTTATAATTGTCAAAATAAGTTTATAATTTGATATATAAAATTGCGTATTATAATTTTATCTAAATCTAAAAAATGATATAAACAAGATTTTATTCTTAAATAAATATTATACAAAGAATACGATAAAATATAGTTTGTGGAAATAGTATTTATAAATGAATAAAATTTTATTTTTTTATGATTTGTAAATTAAAATGAATATAATACAAGGTATGATAAAATATACACATAATATATGTTTATTTCTCTAAAGAATTAAAGAAATATATATTGGTTAGTAAGATTTTATAACATAATGCGGTTTTGTTTGATTTAGGTCGGTTTGTAAAATACAAACCGCAAACCGAACCGAACCTTACGATTCCGCGAGAAAATAACCCAAACACATCTGAATCAAATGTGATTTTTTACGGTTTTGATTTAGTTCGATTTTGCGGTTTTCTATTGAGTCGGTTTAGTTTTGAACATCCCTACTGATAATAATTAAATTTTGAATTTTAGTATCATTAACATTTTTTTGCATTGCCATTTATATTCGTAACGTCTTAAATTTTTATATTGTAGTTGTTTAAACGTATTTATTAAATATAAAGATAGTATAGAGTCTTCCAATCTAAATTGAATAAAATAAAATCACAAATTCATCTTAAAAAATTGAAAACTACAAACACAAAAAATTAAAAAAATAATAATAAATGTATTTGAATGTTAATTTAAAAAATTATTCGATTCGAATAAAATTTTAAATTAATATTCTAAAATCGATTCAAATCGAACTAAATTATTTTATAAATTTATTTGCTTATTTATTTTTAATTAATATAATATATCATGTTAATTTATTATTTAAATTAAACCTTTTAAAATTGGATTAAATTTTTAATCAATCTTTTAAATAAAATTGAATCACAAAAAAGTTTATCTTTTATTAGACTATCTTTTGTGTCAAAGATATGCACAACAAACTCTTGGTTTGGCTTTTTCTAATATAAATGAATTTGTTTGACTAATTAAAATAAAAATGAAGTGTATTACATTTTTGTATCCTCCTTATAGAAGTTGACCTTTAAAAATTCATAATGTTATATTTATTATTCGATAGTATGGTTACACATTTTTTATGGTGATTATAATTTTATTTTATTTATTGCATGTTAAATTTTAATATTATTGTAATAATTTATAATTAATATTTTTTTTAAAGTTTTAATTTTTAGTCTTTCTATTAAAATAATAATAATAATAAATAAATTTATCAAAATAAAAATTTAAACACATAAATAATATTAGTCAATGAAAAGTACATATATTAGTTTATTTATGGCCATGAAATCAAAACATGACAAAGCGGCAAAGAGATAGCCACGTTTGGCGATGAAAGCATTAACGGTTGAAATGACTAAATTGCCCTCATGTGACGTAATACGACATTGTTGGCTGGCTGTATCCAAATCCGCAGCAGAAGTGTCAGGTACGCAAAGTATAATACTACTAGTACTCTCTATAATCCCTCTTACTATGGTGATTTAGGGTTTTTCACTGACTCGAATAAATTCGGATTAAATTATAGAATTTGGATCAGTTTTTTTTTTTAATTTGAATTAAAATCGAGTCGAATTTATAAAATTTAATGTTAATCGGTTTGACTAATTGATTTTTAAATTTTTTTTTACGAGTTCGTCTATCTGAATCAATTAATTAATTCATATGATTTATATCATCATTATAATAAAAATTAGTACAGTATAAAATATTCCTCTTTAAGAAGAAAAAAATTAAACGTCATTTTTAATTTTTATAACATATATCGAAAAATGAAAAAATTAAGAATTTTATATCGTTATGGAACATTAATTGATGTAATTTAAATATTTTTAAAAAATATTTGTGTATATTTGTTTTCAATGTATCCGATCAATCCAATTCAAACCAACCCGTTATTTTTCGGTTTGATTTTGTTTGGCCTTTATTGCAAAAATATACAAATCTAATCCAAATCGATCCATATATTTTTGATCGGTTTAGACATCATATTATCTTAAAACTGAACTAAATTGGCCCGTGAACACCCTATGGTGACTCATCTATGGGTATGTTTTTACTGAAAAAGTTCAACACTCTTTGATTCAACAGGTGACGAAGGATGAAGTTACTTATGCATTGAATCAAATGCACCTTTTCAATGCGCTTGACCCTATAGATTCTAGGGTATTTTCTTTAAATAGTTTTGATATATAATTGGAGATGACGTTGTCCAACTTATATCATATGCTTTTGTGAAAGGTAGCTTTCACTCCTCTCTTTTTGAGACATTATCGCATTAATTCCTAAGGTAGCCTTGAAATTTTAAAAAATTCAAGTCCATTAGCATGTGCAACACTATTTACAAGATTATTACAAAGATTATCGTTAAAAAATTGCGTCCTTATCTAAATCAAGAATTTGACCCCTAGAGTAGTTGTTTACCTGGTAAAAGGACAATTGATAATGCAATTATTCTCTAAAAACCAATTCATTCTATGCGTAAATCTAAAAAGAAAAAAACGGGCATGGTGTTCAAAATAGATCTTGAAAAAACCTATGATCATGTTAATTGGGATTTCTTGAATTTTGTTTGAAGCGAAATAGGTTTCCTCGCATTACTATAAAGTTGTTCATGCACTATGTAAATAGCTTCTCTATGTCAGATCTTTGTGTTAGAACATAGTTTGATTCTATAACCCTTAGTTAGAGTTTTGATGATAACAAACACAAAGAACAAATATGCACTCTAAAATTAGGTTATTTTATATGCAGAAGTTCTGACCAAAGTAGCATCAGAAGTTAAAGCTATAGAAGCTTTCACGCTGAGGTAATCAGAATGCGCTGAAGAATGATGATCAGAACATACGCTGAAGTGAAGAATACTCTGATTCTGAACAGAAGGTTCATATACAATCAAATTCTCACAACTCTAAGTCATCGATGTTCTGAAGCAATTGCAGCATACAAGATTGTAAGATTCTGAAGCGTTACTATTCAATAAAGACAACATCACATACAACGGCTTCATTCAGACATGATCTTCTCAATATGGAAACTACTTAAATGTCCATTATCACGCTTAATGTTGGACATGATTTCTTTGCATATATAAACAAGCTAAGAGATCAAATCGTTCACAATTTTCCAACGCTACTGCAATTCATCTCAAAAGGCTGCAAGCTTACATACTTATTTTCTACGCTCAAAATTATGTAAAATATCACAGTTGTGGTAACTGTTTTTGTAATGAAAAATAATCATACACAAAATTCTTGTATCTTGATTAAGACAATTTTTCCTTCAGATTAACCGGATTGTGGTTGTACTCAAGAGGACTCTGACAGTTGTCAAAGTAGTGATTGTAATCAGTTTTTGATTAGTGGATTAAGTCCTCGTTGGAGAGAGGTGAAATCACCTTGATGGGTGGACTGGAGTAGTTTGAGATCAAATGAACCATGATAAAAATATTGTGTCATTGCGCATTTGATTTCAAGTTTTCAATTCAACTCCCCCTCTTCTTGTGTTTTTCACTCCTTCAATTGGCATCAGAGCGCCTGGTTCTAAGTTCATACACTTAACCGTGTCAGTACAAGATCCAAGCTTTAGAAAAACACTATGGTGGGACCAAGCCAAAACATCAGCAATGACTATCATGAAGACAAGGACATAATCAGTGGCAAACCTTCAGTCTTTGATGGAGAAAATTTTGACTACTAGAAAGATAGAATTGAGAGTTTCTTTCTGGCCCATGATACTGATCTATGGGACATGGTAACTGATGGATACACACATCCAGTGGATGGACGTGGTCAGAAGATAGACAGAAAAATGATGTCTGACCAGCAAAAACGTGAATTCAGAAACCATCATAAAGCCAGAATAATACTCCTCAGTGCTATCTCATACTCAGAATTTGAGAAAATCTCAAACAGAGAGACAGCCAAAAATATGTTTGACTCTCTGAGAATGACGCATGAAGGCAACATATAAGTCAAAGAAACCAAGGCCCTTGCGCTCATTCAGAAGTATGAGGCATTCAAGATGGAAGATAGTGAATCCATAGAAGCAATGTTCTCAAGATTCCAGATCCTTGTTGTTGGGCTGAAGGTTCTTGACAAAGGATATTCTACTTCTGATCACGTAAAGAAGATCATCAGAAGTCTACCCAAGCAATGGAGGCCAATGGTCACAGCACTTAAGCTAGCCAAAGATCTCAACAAGATATCTCTGGAGGAACTTGTCAGCTCCCTCAGAAGTCACGAGATAGAGCTAGAAGAAGATGAGCCTCAAAAGCAAGGTAAGCCAATGGCATTAAAATCTAACAGAAAATCTGATTATAAGGTTTTGCAGGCTATGGAAGAAACCTCTGATGGATCCTCATCAGAAGAAGATGAATTGTCTCTCCTCTCCAGAAGGGTGAATC